TGTTTAAAAAATGTAAACAACATCATGCTTTCATAATAATAATATGAATTAAAATATTAATAGGGCTTTTAATATGGCAGATTAAAAATTTACATACAATTTAGCAAAAAAAGACCTCTCTCTCCTCGGTCTCCTACTCTCTTCAGCAGAAAACTAAAAGGTATCCACAAAAGAATGAAGGGCCAAAAAAAATAAAAAAATAAAAAAATAAATAAAACGATTATAAAAATAAGGTCAAAAAGGACACAAGCAATTTTATAATGGAAACAGACTATAACTCAGCAATAACTTAGTAATAATGACATGTTTATTAAAATCCACATTTTGTCACTGGAAACATTGGCATCGGTTCACCCTGAAAATGTAAAAGTGTCATATTTCATGCATCATTTGATTTCACAATGAAACACGACCTGACATAGTGAGGGAGAATCATAAAACGATAATATTTTTGAATGTCATAAAAAAAGACCAAAAAAAAAGGAGGCAAAACAGTGACAAAGCGAAAACAAATTATGCAGCATAAAAAATATTTACAAATAAAAATATCAATCAGAGCAAATTTCTTACACATAATTTAAAACAGGATTTCATAAGAACTTTTGCATTCATTTTTTAACAGTTTCCATGTAAGAAAATGTTTTACATTTAAAAGAAATGTCATTTATTTTTAAATAGGAAACTGAACAATTTGAAAACAATTATAAACTCATGCAACGACTACACAAGAAAGCTTTTACATGAACACTGACATTTCTTCTGCTTACATATTCTACAAGAGTATGAGGGTAAAAACGATGAAAGGACACAGTAACAAAAACAATCATTACTGAACAAAAGCCACTGAACACACAACCACTGTAAAAAATATCCGTAAATTAACTGTTTTCTGTATTTTGTGATTCATGTTTTTAAATTTTCCTGTTTATGCTTTTCACTAACCGGCCACTTTATTAGGTACACCTCCAACTGCTCATTAAAGCAAATTTCTAACCAGCCAATCACATGGCAGCAGCTCAATGCATTTAGGCATGTAGACATGATCAAGACGATCTGCTGCAGTTCAAAGCGAGCATCAGAATGGGGAGCAAAGGGGACTTAAGTGACTTTGAATGTGGCATGGTTGTTGCTCCAAGACAGGCTAGTCTGAGTATTTCAGAAACTGCTGATCTACTGGGGTTTTCACGCACAACCATCTCTAGGGTTTACAGAGAATGGTCTGACAAATAGATAATATCCAGTGAGCGGCAGTTCTGTGTGTGCCAATGCCTTGTTGATGCCAGAGATCAGAGGAGAATGGCCAGACTGGTTCCAGCTGATAGAAAGGCAACAGTAACTCAAATAAGCACTGGATGCAACCAAGGTCTGCAGAAGAGCATCTCTGAACACACAAAACTGCTGCCACATTCGGATGAGGTCAGAATTTGGCATCAACAACATGAAAGCATGGATCCAGCCTTGTATCAACGGTTCAGGCTGGTGGTGTAATGGTGTGGTGGATATTTTCTGAAGGCAAAAGGGGGTCTAACCCAATACTAGTAAGGTGTACCTTATAAAGTGGCCAGTCAGTGTACTTCAAGCTACCAAAATGGCAAAAATTAAAGTTACTTTGTTAAACTGTAGAGATCAACATCCCATAATGCAAACACACAAAATATGGAGACTGTGTATTGTTTTACAGTGCATGTGTAGGTGTATTAGGGGTAAGTTGTGTGTCGCTGTACGTGTGTCCTATGCATGCATGAATAGTGTGGAGATGGAGTGGAGATAAAGTAACAGCAGTTATATCAGCTTTCAGCCTCTTCACACACCCTGAAAGAGCAGATAGCAGAGGAACACACAGTACCCAGAGCAAACATGTCGCCCGCTGAGAGCCAAGCTTTGACTGCCGCTGATCAATAACACAAACACAAGCGTGCATCAATAAAACTGTGCAAACATCAGGCGGCCAATCAAATCCTCTCACACACAGCCAATCTCCAACAGCCTCTCAGCTGGAGTCCTGCAATCATTACCATCCTCAAAAACCGAGAAGAGGAACTTTAAATCACTAACAGACTGTATCTTTCTTATCAAAAGCACTGCGCTGTGTTTTGGCTATAGCTGCTGGAGCTGTAAATGGAAGGTCAATGTCAACACGCTCACAAAAAATGAAGTTTATCATTAACTGTTTGTAACCTTTTCATTTGTCAGTTTTTAAAATGTACAGTTGAAGTCAGAATTATTCGTCCTCCTGTATTTTTTTTCTTTTTCTAATATTTCCCAAATAATGTTGAACAGATTTAGGAATTTTTCACAGTATGTCCTATAATATTTTTTCTTCTGGAGAAAGTCTTATTTGTTTTACTTCAGAAAAAAACAAAACAAAAAGCGCTCTGGGGTAAGTTCAAATGTATGGTCGGTGCTCTTTGGGTAAGGGATTCATCAAATCTGCAACAAGAATCAGTCCAAGGCACTCGAGTAAAGTGAAAAAATTAAAAAGCCTTTATTCACATGGCTAGATCTCTAAAAAAAAAAAAAAAAAAAAAAAAAAATATGGGATGAATTTAAACAAACTAATTAAGTTTAGTATCATGCAGCTCAATTTGTTTGTGTAAATTCATCCCATATACATTGTTTGCAATCACTCACCTTAAAAAGAATTGTAAATTCAATTAATATTTTTTTTAGTGATGTGATTTTTTTTTCTTTTTCAAATACTTACCAAATTATGTTTAAGCTGTTGATGAGAGCAATTAATTATTCACAATATTTCACATTTTATTTTGATGGTTCCTATTGCATATTTTGTTGATTAAAAGTTGCATTGCAATACATGCTACTATACATAGTATAGTAGTAGACTGTCTGCTTAATATCTGCTGATACTGCTCCTTCAGCAGACATTTATCTGACTATAAGAAACTGTGCATGTACAGTATGGCAACTTACACTAACCCTAACCTTAACCCTAACAGTCTACCTACAGTGTAATGAGAATAGTTGCCATGCAGTGTAACTTAAATTCAACAAAATGCATTAAAGGAACCATCAAAATAAAATGATACCAATATTTGTTTCTTCTGAAGAAAATCTGAAAGTCTTATTTGTTTTATTTTGGCTAGAATGAAAGCAGTTTTTAATTGTTTTAAACCCATTTTAAGGTCACTATTATTAGCCCCTTTAAGCAATATTAGCTTTGGATTGAACAAAACAGAACAAACCACTGCTATACAATGACTTGCCTAATTACCCGAACTTTACCCTAATATACAGTATAGATTTTTCTTGCTCATTTTTAAACATAATAGTTTTAGTAACTAAATTACTAACTGATAATTAAATAAATACATTAATTAATTAAAGTCTCTGCCGTAATTACAGGATAGGATATTTTAATAGTTATTTTGTGAGATACTTGCATTCAGCTAATTGATAAAAGATTAATGGAAAAAAGGAGTCCCCTACATGTAAACTGGCTTGGAGAAATGACTTTAACCTTTTTGGAGCGAATTAGGTAGAAAACTTGAACAAGAAAATGATTTGACACAAACTAATTGTGGACTAATTTGTCATTTTATGGATTTTTTAATATTCCTTTTCATCATTCTCTGCCGTTCAAACAGGTCTTTGTAAACAAGTTTTTATGAATGGCTTGTTATGTGGGTGGGTTTTTATTTATTTATTATTATTATTAACTTTTTTGCTTATGTAACCTCGCCGGTCCTACGCTACCCAACACGCTCCAAGCTGGTAACGAATCTGCTACCTTCCGCATGGGAATCGGGTGCTCTATCAAGGAGGCTAAAGACCATGGCCTCTAGCATCTGTCGCTAGAGCACCTTTAGAGGTCAGAGGAGTGAGGTTTACCTGCACAGCACACACTAGCTGGCCTCCGTTACACTCACCCCACTAAACCTCACTCTCATCCAGGTCACGGCACCATTGTAACCCCGACGGTTTTACGCCACCCAACCCGCTCCGAGCTGGTATCGAACCGGCGACCTTCCGCATGGGAGTCAGGTGCTCTACCAAGGAGGCTACCACAAGTAGAGGTCAGAGGAGTGAGGTTTTACCTGCACAGCACACACTAGCTGGCCTCCGTCACACTTATGTAATATGTGGACAAAAGATATAAAAAAAGAGAATCCATTTTCCTGAATCTTTGTCTTCAATAAAAACTTATTTGACAACAACAACAACAACAACAACAACAACAACAACAACAATAATAATAATAATAATAATAATAATAATAATTCCCTACATTTATAGAGCTTTTCTGGACACTCAAAGTGCTTTACACATTTGGGGGGAATCTCCTCATCCACCACCAGTGTGCAGCATCCACCTGATGTGACAGCAGTCATATTGCACCAGACTGCACACCAGCTGATTGGTGGAGAGGAGACAGAGTGATGAAGCCAATTATGATATGGGGATGGTTAGGAGGTCATGATGGACAGAGGCCAGTGGGCGGATTTGGCCAGGATGAAACCCCTACTCTTTTTCGAAGGACATCCTGGGATTTTTAACGAACACAGAGAGTCAGGATTTTCGTTTAAAGTCTCATCAGAA